CTTTGAGGGCAGGTCCGCGCGGATTTCGGGCGACCTGTGCTGGACCACCCTGTGTTTTGACCTGTGAGACCCTCCCTGGCGCACGGAACGCGTCAGTGGCGGCGTCGGAAGCGCCGCCAGTTGGCCCACCGGAGATCCAAGAGGCCCGGGAAGACATGAGACGATGCTGCTTTGTGCTGCTATGTCTTCTTCAGTGTTTGGCATTTTTGGTCTCCAAGGGACCCCGACGGGACCCAGGAGCGTCAGCAAACGACTCGGGGTGAAAAGATGGACTCTGGGCCAGGTTCCTTGGGGAGTCACGCTTCGAAAAAGACACGTCGTCGGATATCTGCTGGCGGCGCGCACAAGGGAGTGGGGGGAGGGGGAAAGAGTCCTGAGAAGAAGGCTGCCTCTCAGGAGGCGCCAGCCCTGCATCTATAGACGAGGCCCGCGCCTTCCTCCCCGTCCTCCTCCTCCTCCTCCTCCTCCTCCTCCTCCTCCGCCTCCTCCTCCTCCTCCTCCTCCTCCTCCTCCTCCTCCTCCTCCTCTCCCTCCTCTTCCTCTTCTTCCTCCTCTTCCTCCTCTTCCTCCTCCTTCTCCCCCCCCCTCCTTTTCCTAGAAGCAGGGGTGATTCTCAGAAGCCGTCCCCACTCCCCCTGCCCCTCCTCTGCGTGTGGCCGAGCCTGGGCCCTCGGCCCGCTCGGTGGGCGCGGCGTGCCGGCGACGCATGGAGGGCGCGTGCACCGACCCCGCAGCTTGGGCGGGCCTCGCCAGGTGGCGGGCAGGCAGATGAGCAACAACAGAAAAACCCGAACCCTTTGGGCCAGGGAGTCTTTTTTTTTCCGCAGATGTATCAAGCCCAACCGCCTGGATTGGTAATCCCTGTTCCAAGAGCGTGGACCGACGTGAGGCTACGTCTCCATGGTGCTACTAGGGTTCGGGGTTCTCTTGCTTTCGATACGTAGCGTCAAGTCGGGCCTGTCCCTCTACAGGGGGAATATTCAAAAATAGCAAGACAATAGTCTGGGGACTATTTTTGTTGCAGTGTGTTTGAGCATTGGGGGGGGCATTCTTGGGGGCATCTCTGATTGTTCGCCCCAAACCCCCCTGTATAGGGGGACGGGTCCGACTTCTATGCAGGGCCAATTCCTGCCGTGCCGGCGCGGCGGCGACCCCGGCGTAGGCGTTGCAGGCGGGCCCGCCGCCGGTGGCCCAGGACTGGCCAAGACGCAGGAACAAGGGAGGGCGGCACCAACACCAACAGTTTGGACGCCCGAAATGGGCACGGAAACAATGGGCACAATACCCAACAGCAAATGTTGCCCCGAAGCAACAGCGAGAAACAGGGCGAGAGAAAGAAAGGAACAGGGCGAGAGAGAGAGAGAGAGATGGAGAGAGAGAGAGAGAGTGAGAGAGAACGCCGAAAAACGTCCTGGAAGGACGGCCCTATAGGAGAGCCTGGCGAGGGCGCCAGAGCGCCAGAAGGTTCCCTCGCTGTAGTTGCCGGAGTGGAGGAAGCGACGCATAGGACATGCGCGGAGGCTGCGGGCCTGCGCCCCTCCTGCCTCCCTGTTTCTGGAAAGAAGAAAAGGCGCCACGGGGCGCGTGCTGGCTGTGCATCTGGAAATCTCGTGGGGGACGGAAGCCTCTGTTTTTGGGAGAGAGAAAAAAACGCCACAGGGCGCGTGCTGGCTATACATCTGGAAGCCTCCCCCCTCCTCCTCATCCTCCGCGTCCTCCTCCTCCTCCTCCTCCTGCTCCTCCTCCTCCCTCCGCCTCCTCCTCCTCCTCCCTCCTGCTCCTGCTATTGCCTCTGCTCCTGCTCCTGTTCCTGCTCCTCCTCCTCCTCCTCCTCCTCTTTCGTGGGGGACGAAAGCCTTTGCAATTAACTCATCATTCGGAGAGCCGCGCGGATTTCTGGCACCGGTGCCGGGCGTCCCTCGCTTGCCGCGCGGAGCGCACGCCATGGTTCATATTGCCAGGTCTCAGCAAGCACTGCGAGGATATTTCTTGTGTCATGGAAAATGAAAAATATCGTCTGTCTGACTGCGCGCGCCATGAAGACGCGGACGCGCGCGGGCGCGCCACCCCAGTAGTGCGCGTCGCCGCCACGGGCAGCATATCTTACGAATGGCCCAACTCTCGTGAAGACGCACCACTGGCGATGGAAACGATCCACGCGCGGCGAAGGGCATGGCTGCGCCTTGCGCCGGCTGGATTACCCGCAACCTCCGGGAAGCCCGACTCGCCTTCGAGCGCTGTCCCCGCACCTGCTGCGAAATCGTGACAAGTGTGGGATACCCCGCGCATCCAGGCGCCTGCCTGGCACTCTGAGGCGTTCGCCCCCGCGCGCGCGGAAACGCCAGAACGCAGCACGCGGTGGCCTTCGGCCACTTGCGAGCGGTGCCCCCGCGCCTGGAGGACAGCTTCGACCACGGACGGAAGTCTCGCAACCCCAGACGTCCGCGCGGCATTCAGAAGCATACACCGCCGCGCGGGCTGATGCGCCGAAAGGCATGGCGCCGTGGCCCTTGTTCACCTGGAACGGCCGCCAAATCGCGCCGGCCATGCACGGCCTCCGCAGAGAGCCGCCGCGCATGTCTGTCGCGCCCAGATTGTCACTTCGAATGCACCTCGAAATCCACTTTCGAAATCGAACCCGGAATCCATGTCATCCACTTTCGACATCCACTTCGGAATCCATTTCGAAATCCACGTCGAAATCCAGTTCGGAATCCACCCGAAATCCATTTTGAACTTCAAACCTTCACAAGCCGACATGGATGGCAATATGCTGTGGGCGGACTACTGAGGGAAGAACAGACTGCAAGGTTTTGAGGTCGAGCTGCGTGCCATGTGCGCCGGGTATCAACAGCGGGCAGCGCGAAAGTCTCGCAACGCAACTGCCCGTGACCTCGCCCGGCCCGGTGGCAGGCGCTCAATCAAGGTCACAAGTGCGAGAGGGGGCCCCCGCGCACGCAACTCTGCCGCTGAGAAGACGTAGTCCTGCAAGGGCTGCGCTTTCCACAGATTGTAACAAAACTAAGGTTTGCGTACACATACCTGAGCCAAAATTAGGGCGCCTTCTTCCCCGTAACGTGTAACGAACATCAGCATTGCTGAACGAGGAGAAGGACCAGGCCGAGGAGGGGGAGAGTGAGGAGGTGGTTTTTATATACACTGTGCACGCGTTGACATCACATGGGAAGGCCGGCAACACTAGCCGATGATACGCACGATCGCTGGGAAGCAGGGGCAAATTACATGTCCCCTGCGATTTTCACACGAGGTTTCCTCGCGTCTCTCCGGGCTCTTCGTTCCCGCCGAGAGTTTCGAAATCCACTCAGGATTCATTGCTGAGACCTTGTAGCCTGACATGGTGCGCCGCGGGAGGCGCCGCCGGGGGGGCCAGCCAGCGGGGGGTCTCCCTGCTGGTGTGGTCCCCCCCCCCCTCGATCGAGACATCTCCAGCCGCCCGCTCGGGGGGGGCATCGTGGGCCTCCTGGAGCTGGCGGTGGGCCCCCTGGCGGTGCTGGCATCGCTCCTCCTCCCTCCTCCTCATCGCTCCTCCCTCCTCCCCCCGGCGGTGTTGGCCTCGCGAGGGGGAAGCCGCCGCCGATCGCTCCGAGGCCGAACGCTCCGTGCGGTGACCAGCCGGCGCCGAAGTCGTCGCGACGCGAACACCGCAGACGGCGCGTGAGCGTGTGAGCTTCCGGAGGTCCGCGCGGACTTCTCGGATCGGCGCCGGACGCCCCTCCCTGGCGCGCGGAGCTCGCCAGAGGCGGCGACGGAGGCTCCTATAGTCCTACCACGAAATGTTCTTAAAACCCAAACATGTTCTGAGAACAAGGACAATGTTCTGATAACAAAAACCCGATGTGATAAAACAAAACAGACTTCGCCGGACGTGTTCTAAGAGCATTTCGTGGAAACCACAGAAGGTTCTTAGAACATTGTTTGGTAGGGCTATAGGCGAGCCAGGACGCTTCACCACTGCTTGAGAATATGTGCGGTCGACGCGCTGCCACAAGGAGCGCGAAACAAGGGAACGCGGCCCCTCCCTGGCGCCACCAGCGCCTGGGTGCACGAGGGGAGCCAGAGGAACAGCCGCGGAAGACCGAATTGAGGACCATCGAGCCCCTTGTGGGCCCAGACTGTTCCGTGTTTCAGCGTACGGTTCGGCGGCGAGCGAGGGAGAGAAACGAGAAGGGGCGGGCCTTCTCAGAAGGCTCGGAAGTCTGCCGGCGTTCTGAGAAGTTTTCTAGGCCTTCCTCGAAGACACAGAACACCCTCAGAAGACGTGAGGGCTTCTGAGAAGTCCCGCCACCTTCTGAGAAGGCATTCTCCTTCTCACTTCCTCCCCGCGCAAGCCGCCGAATTTTGGTCTTCGGGTCATAACTTGGGTTTCCGGCGGCCGTGCGGGACGACCCGGGCACCCCCGGCATGCTCGCGGCGAGGCGCAGCTGTTGGCAAGCGTCCTGGGGGCGGAAGGCCGCCAAGAACCTACGGAGACGCGGGAAAACCTCGAGAACCTCACAGTTCGCACCTCGAGGCTTCCCCCCCTCGTTCGCCGACGACTGGCTGTGCAGCTTTCTTTCTCTGAGGGGCAACGATAGGGGGGACTGGCATAGGGGGGGATGCATCGAGTTGGAATCGGCGATACATCACCGATAGGCCTCCAATCGTGAATCCGCACCTTCCTGGGCAGGTTGGGGCTATCGGGCCCCTACCGGCGATGAGTTGGCGATTGGGGGTCGATGCATCCCCCCATGCCTATCCCCCCCTAGCGTTATGTTGTCCCCATCCTACTTCAGGACCACATCCCAGAAATAATTTCGAGCACCCAGAGAAGTGTCGACGGAGTGTCGAAACAGTGCCGGGCGAGTGTCTCCCAGGGCCCTCGAGTATCGGTATTTTTTCTGGTGCTCGAACTTCTTCCCGGAAATCAAGGCCAAAGAAGGCTGGAACACCATAACCCTATCGCTGCCCCTGACTCTTGTTTGTCGAGGCTCCCCCTCGGCCTGGCCGCCCCAGCCGCCCTTCGGCTCGCCCCGGCCGCCCTTGCCCTGCTGCCCCCACGAGCCCTTGCCGCCGCTCCAGGAGCCGCCCGCCTGCCACGCCCGCGCCTGGCCGCCCGTGCTCGCGGGGATGACCCGCGGCCCCTGCGGCGCGCCGGCGCGGTCCTGCGGGGAGGCCAAGACTGAGCATTCTCTCTTGGGGTGGAGGGCTCAGGGTGGAATCCATAAGGGCTTTTGCACCTCGAGAACGAAAACCCGTATTGTGATTCACCCCTTGCAGACTCAAGCCTCGAACATCCATCGAGACGGCATTTCAGATTTCACCCTCTGCCCTCCACCCAAAGAACATCCTCGGCAAGAGCCCCAACCCCCCCGAGTCATGAAAAATTCAAGGCGGGAGGCGTTTCTCGCTATTTTCGGCCTCGGGGGGCCCTCACCAGCCCTCGGCGCCGTCAAAAAAGAGCTCAGGGTGAGAAGCCCGTCCCTGGGAATGGGTCGAGAACTCTGGGGGTCGACGTACCGAAAAAATCGGGGCTGGGGAAGCCAAGAATAGGGGAACGAAGAATGACATAAACATGAAAACTCGGAGGTCCGCGCGGGTACCTCGGATCGGCGCTGGGGCCCCCTGGCGGCGCTTCCGGCGCCGCCCCTGGCGCGCTCCGTGCGCCAGGGAGGGTGCGTGTTGTTCCTCTTCCCCATCCATGTCCCGTACTGTCCCTTACTCTCCTAGAACTCAGCGCTACTGATTGATGTGTGCGGGTGTTGTGACCAAACTTTCGAAACGAATGCCGCGAGGGCCTCCCGGGAGACCCACACAGGCGCACACGAGGCAGGGGCAAAGGCATCGGCACCCCTCTTCCGACATCCTCGTCAAGCAGCGGGTGCTGCAGCAGCTGCTGCAACTGCTGCGGCTGCATGGCCGGCAGCAGGCCGGAGAAGCTCGGCTTGCCTGGGGGAGCAAAAGCAATATCGATTGCACGCCGCAGCGGGGAACCCATCAGCATGCGACAACAACAGCATGCCCTCGGGTCCTCGGACGAGAACGGAGGAGTAGCCAACACGCCGACGGTCCGCCGACCCCGCTTGCCGGGGATGAGTTGGCGTGTGAGATATGTGGCTGTCCCCCTCCCCCATCCCCCCTCCCCCAGGCCAACGCCCCCCTGGGGTCACCAGAGCCTCCAAAGAGCTCCCAGGCAGCCCAAGAGGGTCCACACAGAGCGCCAAGACAGTCCCAGAGAGCGTCGAGACGGCCCAGGGTAGCCCCACGACGGTCCAAGATGGCTTCGGGACGGCCCACGAGGCCCCCACGACGGCCCAAGAATGCTTGCAGAGAACTGCCGAGAGAGGCCCTGTAAGCAAAAATTCACCCAGCCCCTTGGGAACATATGCATTTTTAGCATACTCGCCTTTTCTGTGTTGGCAGCGTCCAAGACGGCCACAGGGGCTCCAACAACCGCCCCAAGACGAGCCATGAGGCCCACAAGAGAGCCCCAAGGCGGCTCAAGATGGCTCGGAGATTGGCTCCCAACACGGGCCAAGAGAGCCCCTCTTGGGCCCCAAGGGGGCCCAAGAGGGGGAATACGAACTGTCACGTCGAGCCTTTTCCCCCAAGATGACCCCAAGCCCCCTGGAGGCCCCCGAGGCGCCCCCAATACGCGCCGAGAGGCCTCCAAGATGCCCCCGCGAGGCCCCCGAGAAACTCAAAATAAAAACCAGGTGCCACAATGAGCCCTCCAAGATGCCCCTGAGAAGCAGCCCAGGAGCCCCTCCGCCTCTTGACCCACTGCGTTCCTTCTACAAGCGCTGCAAGCTCTCGCTGTATCCCCACACTCCGTGGACGCCCCCCAAGTGGCCGTCACGAGACCCCGACAACGCCCCGAAGCGGTTTTCAGAACGCTTTGCGACTGTCTCTGACAGCCTTCCCTGAGTTTGGCCCACAGGCTCCCACAGGCATAGACGCGAAGACTGCCTGCCCACATTTGCAAGGGTCAAACCGCGCGCGACATGATTGGCTCCAGCCTTCCCCATTGGCCTCTGCTCTCCCAGAGCCCCGAAGCCTGCTCGAGAAACGCGCGACGAACTTGACATCGTTGAGGGGGCCCTGGGACACACAAATACAGACGCACAAATAATAGGATTCCCCATATGTTCCTGTATTTCTGGGTTTTTGTCTTCCCCCCACTTCCCATATTTTCCCAGATTTTCCTGGGAGTCGACGATAAATTGTGCCTGTGTGTTTTTTCTCCTCCTGAACCGTGTCTCCCAGGCCAACAGAACCTTCCGACATAGACCGCCCAGCTCCGCAGGCCCCAAGAGAGTTGGTAAGGCCCCAAGAGCATCGGGTTACGACACACACTGTATTCAAGCCCCAGTGCTCCGACGAAGGCGAGTTGGGGAGGGCGGGTGGAGGCAGCGGCAGTTGGCGAGTCAAGGAGGGCGGGCTGAGACGACGGTCAGAGGCGGACGCCACCGTCGGTCAGAGGAGGGCGAGTCGAGACATCGGGATGTAGTCGGCCTTCGAGGGGCCCGGCCCCCTCCTCGCCAGGGCTGGACGCGGCTCGGAGCCTCCGAGCTCGGGGAACGTTCTTCCCTCCCGACTGGGGGAACCAAAAGGTACCGGTACCGCTGCTCCCCGGGCCTCCCCTGAGGTGCGCCCTGACCAGAATTCCAGGCGAATGCAGCGGTGACGACGAGGGCCTCCCAGGATGCCAACACACAGGGAAAACGGGGGAGGGTAAGGGTATGAAGAAGAAGACACAACGCCACAAACATAATCTTTTGGCGCTCCGCGCGGGGTTCTTCGATCTGCGCAGGGCCCCCCTCCCTGGCGCGCGGAACGCGCCAGGGGCGGCGCCAGAGGCGCCGCCCGGGGGAGGCCCAGCGCGGATCCGAGAAGTCCGCGCGGAGCGCCAAAAGTGGATGCGCTTATACTTTTTCTGCATCGAAATACGGTGGAGGCCAGTTCAAAAGAAACCTTCCACAAGAAAACCAGCCCTGAGACCCCAGGACGTCCATTGCTTTTTGGTCTAGGAACGTCGCGCTGCCCATCGCGAAAAACCATCGAAACCCAAGGAACCAAGGGCACCCTGGAGGGAAGCAGGGTATTTCTTGGCATGGGCCCCCACTGTATGCGATCGGAGCTGGAGGCGCTGGTGCCTCGAGTGCCGCGAGGAGGAGGAGGAGGAGGAGGAGGAGAAGGAGGCGGAGGCGGAGGCGGAGGCGGAGGAGGAGGAGGAGGAGGAGGCGGAGGAGGAGGAGGCGGAGGAGGAGGAGGAGGAGCAGGAGGAGGCGGTGGAGGAGGAGGGGGAGGAGGAGGAGGAGGAGGAGGGAGGGGGAGGAGGCGGGGGGGAGGAGGAGGAGGAGGGGGGGAGGAGGGGGAGGGAGGAGGAGGAGGAGGGGGAGGAGGAGAGGAGGAGGAGGAGGAGGAGGAGGTCTGCTCTGCTTTCTTGCCCCTCCCGATCGCCGCTCTCCGGGCCCTGCTTCAGCCGCTCCAGCCGCCCGCGCCGGCTCGCCTCCGCGAGCCGCTTCACGAGCCCGCCCGGGCTCCGCAGCTCGGCCTCCGGCAGCTGCGGCACCAGCGCGCCCCTCGGCTCCCCGTCGGCCGCCACGGTGTCCTGAGGGGCAGCGTCGGGAGGGACAGGCTCAGGGGGGGGGGGGGCATCGACCTCCTCCTCCTCCTCCTCCTCCTCCTCCTCCTCCTCCTCCTCCTCCCCTCCTCCTCCCCCTCTTCCTCCGCTTCCTCCCCTTCCCCCTGCCCCTGCCCCTCCCCCTCCTCCTGCTGCTCCTCCTCCTGCTCCTCCTCCTCCTCCCGAGGGACAAGCTCAGGGGGCAACACACCGACCTGGAATCGAGATACAGCGCCGATGGATCGGCGACAGGCCTCCGACAGCGGCAGCGCAAGGCTCTGGGCGGGGTGGGCCATATCGGGCCCGCAGCGGCGGCCCATCGTGGGCGACTGGGGGTCGATGGTCCTTGGAAGGCGGGGCCACGGCAGGGACCACATCGAACCGGAACAAATCAGGGAGCCCTGATGTCTGGTGACATCGTGGAGGATGCGTCGGGCGCCGCGGCGTCCGTTCCAGAACGCTCCAGGGCGCCCTGGTTCCAGGCCGACCCCGGGGAGCAACCAAACAGCACAAACATACACTCATGGAGCTCCGCGCGGATTTTTCGGCACGGCGCTGGACCCCCCTGGCGGCGCCTCCGGCGCCGCTCCTGGTGCGCTCTCCGCGCGCCAGCGAGGCGTGTCCAGCGCAGATGAAGTCCGCGGCCTCCAAGCGTTTATGTTTCTGTCGTTCGGCGACCGCCGCGGTGTCCTTGGTCAGCTCGAGGAGGTCGGGGACGGAGCCCACGCCGAACAGGGACGCGTTGAGCGGCTTGCCGAAATACTTCGCGTAGTAAAACGACAACAGACTCTCGTGAAGGCCCGGGTGGTCGGCATCCTTCACGTCCCTCGCCGGCGGACGCCCGATTGTACACCGACACCGACCCCTGCCAGGTCTTTCTGCTTCAGACATGTTCGAACCATATCTAAAACGTGCTGAAGTATTTTGGGCACATGGCTTAAACATGCTTTAGACATCTGGAAACTAATTGGCAGCATGTCTCCCTTCCATTGATCGTCGTCATTGGGCTCATTACGGCCGCGCGTGTGCCGATGGGGGGACTGCGCGTGCGAAAAAAAATACACAGACGGTCGATCACATGTAGAAAACCGGCACCCCGCTTACGGGCAGCACAAGGCGGTTGCAGGACGCGAGTGCCCCCTGGATTCGCGCGCATCCGGTCTGGAATTTGCGCGTATCGTGTCGCGGCGCCGGCACCGTTGACACGCTACGTTTTTCGCTCCGCTCCGCGGGGCGGGAGGCCAGGCAAAACTCGGGACGCTGACGCTTGGGGACAAGGTCATGGACAGCGTGTCGCGCCAGGGCTTACTGGTCCAGAACTGGCGGCGCGACACTCGACGGCCAACTTCCTAACACTGTTCGCTTTACTGGACAGGCCTGGAGTGCATGATGGGATTGCACACCCACGTCCTGAACCCAAGACTGGCCTGGCCAGGAACGGCGCCAGGGCCTCCTCGTCCCGCCCCTGAACCCAAACGCTGGGACCTTATCCGCGAACCCCTTGTGGGCCTCTGGGCGTGTGAGATGTTCCTCCCGTTGTGACCCCCCCCCCCAGCCCCCAAACTGGAAATTCGACCCCTCCCCCGGCGCCGGGCGAACGCATCATGGGGGGAAACCAAGCCCCAAAACAGGCCAACAAAAAACCCAGAGGCTGCCAGACGGTCCAATCCCCGAACTGGTGGCAGATCGTTCCAAGAGGGTCCACAGTTGCCGAATGATCGTTCAAGACACTTGTTCCGTCAGCGGCGATGCGGCGAACTCCGCTCCAGCGAGAAGCTAGATGATAGGGACACTAACTAGCGAATTGGTCGGCAAGCAACGATGGAAGGGGAACGGCCGAGAGAAAAAAGGGACACTCAGACGCCGAAGAGATCGACGATGCAGCAGCCGGGGGGCAGCAGCAGCCAGGCGCGCAGGGCCAGAGCGCGGTGGGCAGCCGTGGCGAACCACGGTGGCAAGGGCGGCGGGGAGCGGCAACCAGCGGCTGGGGCTGGCAGGGAGCACAGTGGAACACCGCGAACGACGAACCGCGGCGCACCGAAGAGAAGGCACAGCACTGAGCCGCGCGGGGGCGAGAGCAGCGGCCAGATGGCAGGCAGTGACAGGGATACTTCGGCGTGGCCTCCCGAAGCCAGGTGGCCGAGGGGCAGGGAGAGGTGGGGCGGGAGGCAGCGGGCGAAACGTCTCAGGCGCCCGCAGGCGGCGGGGCGGAACAGCAACGCGGGGGAGGAAACGCGGGGCAGCCACAAGTGGCAACGCAGCCAAAAGGCTGGCAGAGAGAAGGGAATGGCAGCGACCGCCCAAGGCCGCGCCAAGGGGCCAGAGGGCACGGAGGGGAGGGGCGGGTGGCGGCGGGCAAATCGTCTCGGGCGCCCGCAGGCAGCAGGCCGGAACAGCCACGCAACGGGAGGATGCGCCGCGGGGCCGCCGCAGAAGGGGAAACACCCAAGGGTGCGGAAGCCAGGTCGCAGCGCAGGGCGACCCACTGGGCTGTCCAGCGTGGTGCCCCGGGGACGCACCGAAGTGGTGCAGGGGACAGAGAGTGAGCGACGCACGTCCCACACGGGAGTTCCACCGCGAAGGGCGGTGGCGGGGAGCACCGCAGGTTGCGGAAGCCGGGGGACGACGCTGGGCGGCCCAGAGGGCGGCACAGCGTGGTGCGGCTGAGGATCGCCGACATGGCAGGGAGAGAACGACGCGCGCCCCCCACACGCGAGGTACTTCGAGAGGGGGCGGCGGCGGGGAGCGCAGGGAGGCGCAGAAGCCGGGTAACGACGATTGGTTCCAAGATTTGTGCGTTGTCACGTTTTGTTTCCGGCGCTCCATAGCAAACCCGAAAGCCCCCCAAATCGCGCCGAAGCGGCTCAAGAAACTACTCGGAAAGCCCAGAAATGCCGCAAATGAATCCCCGAGATGGGCGAAGTGGCTTCCAAAACGGTCCAAAAGACCCCCAATAATGCTCCAAGAGGGGGGCCAGAAAGATTGTCCGCACAGAAATTTCGAACCCTCGGCTTCAAGAGGGCCCCACGAAACCCCCACAAACCCCCAACACGCTCCCAAACGACCCCAAGAGAACCTCCACAAAACCCCCAAAAACGCCCAAGAGGCTCCCGAAAAAAAAACACGGCTCCCAACTGACTTCCACGAGGCACGCAAAGTGGTCCCCATCGGCTCATGAGAGAACACTCAAAACAAAAAGAAACATCAACAAAAAAACATCCGCGGGGATCCGCCCCACAACCCCAACACGGTGGCGGGATGCGCCGACTGATATCCCAAACGACGCCGCCAGGGGTTGAAATCAATGGAAGCCTTCAGAAGGGTGAGAACCTCCGACATGGATGACGGACCTCCGAACACCGCCTCCTTCTCCTCCTCCTCTTCCTCGTCCTCGTCCTCCTCTTTTTTTTTCTCACCCTGCTTGACCTCGCGTCTAACATTCCGGAACACACCATGTATCGCATCGTTCTGGCAAGTTTCGGTCCTCGGGACAATCGGAAACGGCTCCCGAATGACAGCGCAAGTTGCAGATGTACGGAAGTCGCCCCCAACCACGCCGCGCCGCGCAATGGCCCAAAAACCAGACATTGACGCCGCATCCTCCTCATCCTCCTGCCTCCTCCTCCTCCTCCTCCTCCTCCTCCTCCTCCTCCTCCTCCTCCTCCTCCTCCTCCTCCTCCTCCTCCTCCTCCTCCTCCTCCTCATCGCCCCTTCATCCCCCCCTCGCCCTCCCCCTTCTCCTCCTTCTCTAAACTCTCCTTCTCATAGTCATCGTCCTCCCTGTCGCTTCCTCTTTTCCTGCGCCCCCTTCCATGGGTTGCGATAGCTAGGTGCGCCGCCATAGCGCACTCAATCCCCAAATGGTCACCCGGGCGGGCCTCACTTGCAAGTCTTGCATTTCAGACGCTGCGTCCGCGGGCGCGACATTACCACCCGCCACGGGGAACGCCGACTTCGGCAACTCATTGCGGCACGCGCCGCTGCACTGATAGAGCTGCCAACCTCGCGCAGCGAAAATGATGCCCGTGCAATCTGCGCGCGACACGCGCTCTTCAACTTGCCCCTTCTGGAACTATATCGCGTCCAAGAAAGACGCCCAGCGCGACGCGCGCGTCAAACGGCTTCGCTGCCGCTTCTGCCTTCCGCATGCGATCGTCTGCCTCTCGCTTGCCGCGCCCCCGAGCGCATTTCAGACGCGGCCTCTCCCGCGCAGCATTGCGCTGCATCGGCGCCGCCGGCACCTCCGCCATCTGTCAAGAAAACGACAGGCACTTGTCGTTCAAGCATCGTGCTGTGCCAACGCGCTCGCTCCACTTCGCGTTGCCGCAGCGCGACTTCCGCCCTGCCGTGACATGTTCGCACTTCGCGCAATGCGTGGTCCGAACACTTTTCGGCACCTCCGCGTCGCAGCGACCCGGTCGCCTGGGTCGCCGCCGCGCCCGCGCGGGCCCGTCGCCCTCCGCCCCCTTCGCGCATGCTCTCGGCGTGTCGCGCAATGTCTCGTCCGCGCTGTTCATTGCCGCCGTGCGCTTCCCACGAAAAGCTGCCCCCCCTCTGAAATTCGCCCTTCGTAAACGCATTCACCGGCGGCCTCTGCGGGGGCCGCCCGCGCTCGTCCCGCAGCGCTAGCGGCGCCCCCCGTGCGCCCCAGTCCACGCCCCCCTCTCGGAGAAACCGCCGCGGCCCCTGCGCGCCAATGATTTCGCCTACGTCGCGCGGCTCCCTGTCGAAACGTAGCGCCATGAACAAACTTTCTCGCCTTCGCACGAGCGCAATGGCCACGCAGCTCGTAGCCGGGCACCCCAAGGGCGCCGCGCCCTCTTTCAATCTGCGGCCGTAGTCCGCTCTCGCGACATCGCGCGCGCGACGCTCAACGCTGAGCGCTTCCGATGCCCGTCCAAGTGCCAATGGCGCCGCGCCGATGGGAAGAGTGGATGAAGCTGCGGTCCTTGATTAGGGAGGAGCCATTCCTCCGCGTGAAAGACTTGCGCGCTCTGGGCACGTGTAACAATGCCCCCTCCTCTTCATCTCCCGCGCCCTCGTCCTCGCGCAGGGCTCATCCATGATCGCTGCTGTGCGCCAGGGCACGCGCTGATTCTTTGACCGCCCCGGCTGGCCCCCCACTGGCGCGCCCCTCGCAAGCGGGGCCCCCCCCGGCAAGCTCGCGCACCCCTTATCGCGGTGCCCGCGCCGCCGCGCCCCGCCCCCCACCGCGCGCGGCCGCCCCTGCCCCCTTCCCCACGGCGCGCTCGATCACTTGCTGCGACCCAGAGCGGCTGCTCTCCTCGCGCCTTCGCCCGCGGCGCGGTGCCCTGCTTCCCGACGCGGCACCGACTGTCCCGAACGGCATAGCCGCAACGGTCTCGACGAATTTCTTAACCCACATTCGCGCGTCGCCCGGCGACGTCGCAACCACTTTCCTCTTCTCTCGCACCCCTTTGCGCGCCTGGTACACCAACCCGTCCTTTCTGGATGCCGCCTCTGCGTTTCTGGACATCGCGCGCCTCCGCGCCGCGCTGCGCCGTGCGCCCGCGACCCCGGCGCGCCCGTTGGAATGTCAAGCCAGAGATTGCGCGCGCGTTCAATATGCGTTCCTCGCCGGAGCTCGTCTCGCACGCCAAAAAACATTCGTCGCGGCCGTCCACGCGCTCCCCGGTCAACTCAACCAATCCCTGCACTGCCCCGTTCCCCCCGGCCGCCGTGCAGACGTGCTGCCCGCGGCCCTCCGCGGCGCGCGACGTGGGCAGCGCGTTGATTGCGGTTCCCGACGGCGGCTCCACCTGATAGAGTTCTCAGCAAAACAACACGCTCACGCCCCCGAGCGGC